AAAGACAATAGCAGATAAGTAAATTACCTAGGAAAAAAGGCTATTTTACATCTCAGAAAGAATAAAGAACTGTCATCATCATTAATATACAAGAAGCCTTTGATAGATAGGAGAAAGCTGGTGAATGGAGAGAAGCTACTAATATATAAGAAATCCTTGAAGAATAAAGAGAAGAAGAGTTGTGAGAATTTGAAGAGGTGGAAAAAAGATTTATCCATAAAGTTCTCTGTTGGTATAAGAGAGCTAGAAGTAGTCTTAGAATAATGTATACTGAAAATTCAAGAATAACAAACTGAAGATAGAAAAAAGAAAAAAGAGAGTAAGAACAATATGTAAAAAAAATAAGAAAGCTTGATACATACTTTGAACAAAAACAGATTATTATCTCTCCATCATCTCTAATAATCACTCAAATCTCACCATCATCTATTAATACTGTATCATTATCTACTAATATTATAATAGACTTACAAAAATAGTTAGAAAAAGTTAATCAATGATACTCTATAACAAAGTCTCGCAAAGAAAATAGTCAAATTTTCATATATGACTATTTGCACTTCTTAAACATACAACAATATATATGATTATTGTTAGAGGAGAATAGCAAAATGAATACTAGTAATCAGATTATACAAACCATATAGAATAAGGATGACTATATGGCAAGATGTATTCAGAAATAGAGTGATTACTTTATAAAAATGGGAGAGCTTCTTATTTATCACCAAGAGATACATATAAAATTGGAAAGTTTGCTTAATGATAAGGATTTTATGAAAGACTGCCAAGCATGGTTATGATAGCAAGCATCAGAGTTATGATCATCTGGAACACTAAAAGCATATATCAAGAAAATATTATTTCCAAAAATGATAGGGCACATTAAAAAAGACAAGATCTCCAAGAAAATATACTGAAACTACATGTATCTGTGGGGGTATAGATATAATGAAAGAAGAAAAGGTATTTACTATGATGATCATGAGTGATCAGATATAGTGTTATACAGGAAGAAATAGTTAAAGAGAATGTTTGAATATAAGAAGTATATGAAGGATTTTGATAGTAATATACTAGATATTACATTAGAATCATATCTTAGACCAGAAGAGAAGGAATTTGTACAAGTGATACATGATAAGTATCACTTTTATATAAATGATAGATGATGAAGAATCTGGATTCAAGAGAAAGATGATATTCTATACTCTAAATATTTGGGATGTTCTATTATGGTATCAGCTTTTCTTTGCACATATTATAGACTATTATGATTATCTGATAAGTAGCTGTAGGTAAACTTACATATTGAGGATAAGGAAATCTTTGTTTTTTGATCTGTATAAATAGATAGATATTGAAAATCAGAGTACATATTAGACCAGCTTATGCGTAAGACAATTTTAATATTTAAGATATTATATCCTGGATGTGTTGACATTTTTTGTTTTGATCAATCAACCAATCATAATACTATGAGTGAGAATATATTGATCACAATAAGAATAAACTTGAGTTCTGGCAATGCATAGCCTAAGATATATAATGACTGGTATGTCAATGAATATGGAGAGAGTTACATATAATCAATGGTATTCTCAGATGATTATTCAGTAATAAGATTAAGAGACTAATCAAAAGATATAAAGTAAGTACTTAAAGAATATAATCTTTGGCCAAAGCAAGAAGTTCATTTGGTATGTGAATAGTATTTTGAAAAATATAATGATAATTTTGAAAGAATAGACTGCTATGTATAATGAATAATATTGCAATAGCCTAATTTTTGTGGATAATGATCAATATTAGAGAAGACAATTATCAAAGTAGGACATATTTTCAAATGATATCCAAAGTTTCATTGTGAGTATAACTTTATAGAGTGATACTAGGGTTTTGTGAAGTGAGAGACCAAAAAATTATGTAACTATAATTATACAAACTTATTAAAACAAGTTCCAGAAGTCCTCTCCATAGTTCCAGTAATAACTATTCATAAATTCATATGTAAGTCATAGAGATATATAGATATGTATAATAAAGAGTTAGAAGATAGAACTGCCAAGTGAGTCATTAATAAATTTAAATCACATCATTGCTTACCAAGAGAATAATAGAGAATGAGAATAAGGAAAGAAAGTGATGGAAATTAAATTATATATCTATTTTTTATGTTATTACATGTTTAAATTTTATTGGTTAGCATAATAATGATTAAATATAAAGTCACGTGATTTTCTTACAAAGTATCATAAATTAACTTTTTCATCCAATCTAAATTTTAGATCAAAATTTTTGAAAATTGAAACAAAATTATATGATTATTAAGTATAAAGTTCCGGTACTATATATAATATAACTAGATAATATATATATAATATTTATATAATAAACTTGATAATACTAGAAATATGATAACATAAACATAAAATTATTATCATATTTTTTATAGGTTATAGATATTAAAATGTGATGACATGAATATAAATTCATTATCATATTTTTTATAGATTATGAGTATCAAGTATAATGATGAACTCATGAACTAATTATCATTCAAATAATGATATATATATGATCTCATTATCATATATAATCTAGACTAAGTAGAAATAATATGATTATGTTATTTTCACTTAAGTTAATATATAATATTTAATATTTTTATATTTATTATACTTGTTTTAATTTTATAAATTTTTTATTTTTTACTTGTAATAACTTAATACTATTTTTAAATTATTTAATTAAAAATTATTTTTTTTATTATTTTTTAATAGAATTTTTAACTTGACTCAGATTAAAATTTTTTTATTTTTATTTTTAATATTATAAATTAGTTTTTATTTTTTAATAAATTATTTATTAAAACTTTTTTTAAAATGAAGTAATAATTTTTTATTAATCTTAATAATATATTAAATTATTTTTTGAATAAAATTAAATACTTTATTATACTTAAGTTATTTTTATATTACAAAATATACTTCTAAATAAAAATATTATTCTTATAAATATTAAAAATTTCATATATAAAAAAAATTTTAAATAAGATATATAATTATATTATATTAATTAATTTAAAATAGATGTAAGTTTATAAAAATTAGATAAGTTATAAAAAATATTCTTTATTAATAAGTTTTTATCTTTAATTTATAATATTAATAAAATATTAATTATAAAAAATTTTATTATATATATCTTAATTTATTATTTTTTAATAAAATAAAGTTCTAAATTAAGATAATTAATAATTTTTAATAAGAATATTTTATTAAGAATTAAAATTAATATAATTTGACATATATAAAAGTTATTTAAAAAGTTATTAAAGATATTATTAAGAGATTATGCAGAAGATTTTGTAAAATATATAAGATATAATAAAAAGAATATGTGATATTATATTAAATATCTATAATAATATTTATTTTAAAATTTGTATCAATAATAAAAACTTATAATATATAATTTATAATCTGTAAAATAAATTTTAAAAGTTATTTATAGATTTTTTTTATTTTATTATTAACTAAAGCTTAAATAATAAGCTATATATAAAAATAATTATTAATAATTATAAATAAGAATAGTAATATATTATACTTATTTATCTTATATATTATTATTAAGTATAATATTATAATAAGCTATTGGATTTGATTTGATAATATTTAGAATAATTTATTCAGATTAAAGATATTATCTTAATTAATTATAACTTGTGATAGCTAATTAGAAAATTATAATTAATTATGACAGTCAATCAGAGAATTATAATTAAGTTATAATATCATCTTTAGTTCAGACTTTTAGTTTTATAGTCAAGTTTTTAATATATTTCTTATTTTGATTTCTTGATCTTCTCAATAAGTAATTATCAAGAAGTTTTGATATATTATTTTCTTTTTATTTTCTTATACTTTTATATTTGATTTTAGAAATTATATATATATACTATAATATCTGAAAATTTAATAAAAAAAAGCTAACTTAAATAGTTATACTAAGATTATTTTTAATAATATAAAAGTAAATTTCTTATAGAATAATCTCAGACAAGATTCAGTTTTTTGTAACATATAAGTTAATTATAGAGGTAAGTAAATGATTATGATAAAAATCTCTAAAGCTTTTGCTATAGTATATATATTGCTTTTGATTTCTTATTCTTTAATTATTTGTTAATAGTATACTCAAGATGCCAAGAAGATTAGTAATATATAATCATATCTTACTCATAGTTAAGATTACTCTGACATCTTCATTAACTAGATAATACACTGATAATATATCTAATTTTACTTATTCATTATCAAATAATAAGTTTATTTTATAAATATTGTTCATATTATTTAGAGATTACACAAATATAACGAGACAAATCAAATAACTCATTACTTATATTAAAGAATTTATTAGATATTAAGCATCAAACTAATATTGATCTGATATTGATCATAATTAAACATCAAAGGCTGATGAAAAATTCGCATAAAACTTGCACTCTTGTGTTGGTATTATCAAATGTTGAAAGATATAATATGGTAAGGGCATAAAATATCTTGTTATATGATCCCCTTAAAAATCACGTGCATTCGGATGACTTCCGAGGTCAAGCAAGATTACCACCAGAGCATCAGCCTCTCCTCTGTTTTCGCCGCGACTCCAAACATTCAAGGTATAGCCTTGCAACTACAGTCGTGACACCAGAACGGTTCCATTCAAAAAGAATGAATACGGTAAGTGTGAAGGCGAGAGAGGGTGAGGCTGAAATTTTTTTCCTAGTTTGATTTACTATGTTCACTTTGTCTGGTTTTGTTGTAACATGCTCCGTATGTTCAAAGAGTTTATTAATCGTTTATTGTTGATAATTCAATAATAATATGTAATATTCACATGTTTAACTATTCCAGAACCCTTTCTTATATTTTTATTGGATTAAGGTTTTAATAAATTAATCAAAAATAATTCGCTAAATAAAATTAACTAAACTAATCCTCTTGTTCCTTCAATATGGCTTTAAATGAAAAAGGTTCGAATTTCCTGCCAGTGCCCTCGTAAAATTTGTTGTTAAACTCGACCCTAATGATAAACAATTCAAGAAAAAACACATTAACGCAATTTTTAACATCATATAATTTCTGGAAAAGCAACGGTAAATCCTCCTTACCAGTGTAAACGTAGAGCATGTAAAAACGCTGACAATCCTTCCATCAGCAACAAAATCGCGACGGTCAAAATAAACCAGAGAGCAAAAGCAACTACAAGTGCAATGCCACCAACTATGCCAGTCAATCCAAACACGCTCTTCAAGGTCATATCCCACAACACAGCGGAAAGTTCTGATTATTTAAAATGACCATTTTTGATCAGAAAAAGAATATGGGAATTACGAAATTGTTATACAAAAATTGAAGAAGTGAAGCTCACGTGCATGCGCCAAACTTAAAGCCCATAATCGTAAATAACTTGCAGTGTTTGATATACATCCCAAGCAAAATTCAATAGTATGTATAACTTGATGAATCATAATATCCGCAAACTCAAAATCCTCTTCCACGTGCATCTCTTGCGCGACTACAGCACCACTCAATTCTTCTTCTTCTTCTGTTGAAGAGGAGACTCGAGTGGAATCTGCTTGAGGGTGATGATAACCTTGAGCTCGAATTTTATTGTGCTCTCGACGCAAGATCAGTGGTTTTGCTAGTAACATCCATGGGACACAGATTAGAGCAAGTAGAAGTAGGCTACCTTGTATGAATCCCTGAAGAAGAGTAGTCTTTAGTTTGCATCAAATTTAATTTAAATCACTAAATATAGCATTTTCATACTTGTCCACGATATAATTGATCTGCCGGAGCAACTTTTCCCGGTTGCAAGAACATAAAGATCAACATATTTAATAATCCAGGGGGACTGTTGTGTATATGATTACCCTGTTCGTCGAGCTCATACCAGTTTACTGACCATTTATATATGATAGTAAATACCAGATAACCAAAGATGCTCTGCATGAACAGAAATTGAGGCAGAAATTCGGTCCATATACTCAAGGTTTTTTTGAAGTAACTATAGTTGTATACTGTAAGGATGATACCAAAGCTCATCTAAACAATCGCATATAGAGTGATTAAAATTCTCCACCATGTTGATAAAATAACAACTTATTTTTAAGGTTTACCTGAATAACTCCAAATATTATAGACATTTTCATTTTATATGAATTTGTGAACAATAACTGGTTATCAGAGCCATGCCAAGTCTAAGATGAATTTCCACGTATAGGTTAGAATTTGTAAAAAACTAGATATGAATTCCGTTATATATATATATACTGACCGGATCAACGCCAAAAGGATAAACTCCAACGGGTTTTGCTTCTATGGATTGACCGCTGGTATAATTTGTAAGATCCCATTCGAACCCAGGTGTCGCCAAGACCATAGATTGAGAAAATACATCATTATATATCAAACCGGTGTAGGTAGAGAATATGCCCATTAACAGAATAATGTAACGACCACCGAAAAACATCTCAAAGATCTATTAAAAAAATTAAGTGCTTGAGATCTTTTTACTTCATTAAAAAATTGAATTATATTTAATAAATACCTCGTCTAAACTTTCCCTTTCGAGTTTTTTCTCGTTTAATATTAGATATGCGGCTGCCATAGTAGCAAGCAATCCGTGCCCAAAATCGCCAAACATTACAGCGAAAAGAAATGGAAATGTTATAATGGTAAATAATCCCGGATTAACTTCCCGATATTTAGCAACGCCATATGAGTCAACAATCTCTTGAAATCCAACAGTAAATTTATTAACGCGATGAAAAGTCGGTGGTTCTCTAGTGGTTCTTATTTCATCAACGATAGATGGAATCATAGAACCATAAGTTTCCTTTTTAAAAGGGCAATAAGATATAAAATTCAGAATCAAGAAAAATAATCAGACTTTATAGAGAAAATGATATACCGTAGCAGTTCTAAGAGCATGTTGGATTTGATTGAGATCATTACTAGGACACCAGCCTTCAGCAATCAAACATTTACGATTTACATCATAATTAAACAAGTTCATGGTGTGAAACACCGCTTTCTCTTTTTTAATGATAGTCATCCAAGTGGATAAATTTTCGGCTATCTTTTGAAGTTCCTGTCTTCGTGCATTATTGGTATTTTGAAGGACAGCATTCAAATCCTCTATTTTTGTAATGACCTCTTCCAAATCAGCTTGTCTCTTATCAGCATCTTCATCTACTGGATAAAGTGTAGCACCTAAGGATTCGGAAATTTTCCTTATTTTGTTAATGATCTCTTGACCGTGAGCAAAAATTATGAAAACGTTCTTTTCGATTATTTCATCCGATACGGGATCAATAATTAGTTCATCAATCTCTGCAATATTAAGATAAAGATTTCCACGTAAAGCACGCCAAAGTATGCGCTCGAATATTTGCATCTTACTACGAGGAATCACCCCTGTGACAAAACTTTTGTATTTTAATATTAATTTATACTGGTTAATTTATAATAGATAATTCGATAGCCTTACAACACTAACAAAAATTACCTAATAGCCAAATGAACATCGCTTGGAGCACCACCATGTTCAATGTCAGTTTGTTCAAGTAAAGGTGCAGTAGGTTCATCATAAGAGTGTCTTCTTATCTCTTGGCGTGGTTCGGCCTAAATAAATCAATAGAGCTTAAAAAATTTCTTGGTTCAAACTACAAAAATTTAATATATTAAAATAACCTTTCTAAAGGATTCATCAGTTTCTCTCAATACATGTTGATATTCTGTATATTCCAAATATTTTTTTTGCAAATTCTCATGTGCTGTGTTCATCTCCGTTATACGTCGTTCGTGTCCCACTATTGTTTCCTCTAACTCATCAATTTGTTGCGCATTCGGGGCACGAGCAGCATCACCAACAAGTGGGAGTATCGATATATCTGATTTTTCAATGTGTGTTTTAAAGAAGCCTGTTGGCAATTAACCCGAAAAATCAGTATTATTTTATAGATAACCATTAGGTTCATTCAAAAAAGACGATTTTGGAATAAAGCAGTCTAGTGCTATCAAAATAGCTAATTTTTGTATTCATTCATTCATTGAAATAGCAGAAAAGACAAATCAATATTACAACAGCTTACGAAGATGCCGTTCCATTTCATCAAATCTTCTAATTTCTTTGACAAAGACGCGTTGAAAAGCATTCACGTCTGGGTTTAGCTTTTCGAAACAATATAAAAAGATTTAATAGAAATTTAATAATCTCTTATGTTCAAATGAATAAAATTTGAGACATACATCTCTAAATTGGATTAAGCCTAATTCGCCTAATTCCGCGACTGTCGGCTCAGCAATCTCGGAAGGAATGAACAATTGAATAAGGGACATTTCGTCCGATCTGAAAAGACTTGAGTAGTACATCTTGAATTTGGGAACCTAAGCGGTACGGCTAGGAGGATAGAAACGCCCAAACACCTTTTAACAAAGATAGAGATAGCAGAAACAACGATAGATAATCGATTGATTGATCATATGATCTATATAATACAAAACTGATGATAGAATGGGCAACATGTCGATTCAAAATATTATCCAACTTCCTGTTGTTGATCTTTCTCCTTTGGTTCCTTTGGTGAATAATGCACCTTCCGTTACCAATCCTGTTTCGAAAATTGCTTCTGAACTACAGAATGCCTGCATAAGCTATGGAGCTTTTTATGTTACATGTTCTTCTTTCAGCCGTGACGCTGAGTTGAAAATTTTAGATAATGCGCGTCGATTTTTCAATTTGCCTGAAACTGTCAAGTCTAATATACCCATAAGATCTGGTGGGTTTACACGAGGCTACATTGCTATGGGCGTTGAATCAGGCTCCCATCGAATTGAGTTCAAGGAAGCTTTCTCTTATGGATATGAATGGAATCCTTCGGATAAACCTAATAACTCATTACAAGGTCCAAATGAATGGGATAATCTTGATGAAATTTTAGGACTGGAATGGCGAAACGGCTTGAACGAATTTTATTCACAGATGGTATTTTTGGCTGAATTATTGGTGAAAGGTTTAGAGATAGCGCTCCAACTTGAGCTTCAAAGTTACTGCGCTGGAGGGGAAACTATTTCGCTTATGAGATTATTTCATTATTTTCCGTATTCTAATGAGCAAAATGACGTTGAAGCCATTGGAAGTTCACCGCATACCGGTTTGTATTATATTATTAATGTTTATGGTATCGCTATATGATTATTATCGATCATGCTTATCATTGGCATTCAAAAATTCGGGTACATATAGATTGGGGATTTTTGACTCTTTTACTTCAACCAGATAATGTGCAAGGACTTCAAATATTTTATGATAACGAATGGAGAGACATAGCGAGTAAACCCGGACATATCGTAGTGAACTGTGGCGATTATCTTTCTCTGATAACTAAAGGAGCTTTTATTTCCCCTTTACATCGAGTAATAAGTGATGGTGCGAATGAGAGATATTCAATGGTCTTTTTTTATTATCCAAAATATGATGCGCATATTCCGATCATTAATGTGAATGATCCAAAGATACATAATCTGAGCATATTTAAAGATCAAAAATATGATAACGATAATCAAAGAAAAGAGCAGGAACAAGAAATCAATTCTACTATTGATGATGTTTGCTTTGGTGAATACATTGCGCGTAAATGGGATCAAGTATATCGGGGATAGATAACGATTTAATTGTGTGTGTCTGTCTGTGTTATTATTTATAATTTATATCTTTTTTAAATTTAAATTTTAAATGAAAATGAAATTAAAATAATTACAATTTTTTATTCAACAAAAGTGAAGATGATTACACACTCTTTTGTTAAATTAAGACAACAAACAATGGTTATCGGTTGTTAAAACAATGGCAATTAATAATTAATAATGGACGACAATCAATTAATTCAAAGTATAAATATATTTATAACATATATTATTTGTGTGGTTCAGTACAGTAGATAACGAGGAAGGGGATCGTCGGATTAAGTTAAGAAGGAAAAACTCTTGTTAAAAAAGCAAGCGAGGGAAAAGGGAAGAGAGGATTTTGAACCAAGTTGAGGAAGATGATGATGAAAGTGATGACGACGATGAGGATGATCGATAATGAGGAAAATGATGATTTTAGTTTAGTTTTTTTGTTCCTCTTCTGTTTCTTTTGATTCGTTTGATGTGACGGGAGTTTCACTTGCTTCATCAGTAGTTTCAGTTTTCTTTGAAAGTTCAACGTTTATCTTTTGAACCTCGATGAATTTTTCTTTGAACAAATTAGCGTCTAGAAAAATAGTGGATAATGTTATTATTATAATTGCATGATATTACACCCCCGCTCTAGGTACGTACTTTCAGGATTGGCGAATCTAATAGCCAAAGTTTCCGCCCTTGGTTCTCCATCGGACACATCGGCAGTAACATTCCAAACCCAAGAGCGATCAGATCCGACGTTGGGTGAAAGCTTCATTTCGGGTGTGACTAATAAAAAATCATGAAATGAATTGATGCTCCCGTTCAAAAAAAAAAAAAAAAAAAAAAATACAAAACAAATAATGAATTCATGATGACGCCTAAATCGAATTCTTACTGTAGTGATTTGCACAAACTTTGTGCGTTTTATCTCTTCGCATCAGCAAACGAATTTTACGAGTTTGTTTATGTTGAAGAAAGCGAACGTCACCAGTACCGCGTTCTTTCCATTCCTTCAAAGGTTTGTCAAATCGAAACAACTTTGCGCGCCTATATTTTAATTTATATTAACAAAATCACGATTCTTTAGTAGTAGCAAGTAAAGTAACATGAAGTATTATAGAGGATAAGAAAGAAAATTAATTCATGTCTGAAGGCTCGTAGAGTAAAGGATGTATGTATAAATAAATAATCCTTTGCTGATAATTCTCCAATTTTTTTCTTCAACAGATTAGCAAACTTGTAATCTATGAATCCTTTTTTATCTTTACAAAATGATCAGAGATACAAGTGAAAGACTGTTGATGATGTATAATCAATTGATCAATTGCTCCCGAAAATGAATGATACTTTATGAATATTCTTTATTTTGTGATTTGGAATTAAAATCCATCTAATCGAGTTGATTAAAAAAAAAACACTAACATTTTAAATATCGCTTCTTCATCTTCTTCATGTGTTTTTACTTCTATTTCTTCCAACTTAATAACAGGTTCAAAGTGGATGTCAACTGACTCTGCAACCTCTTCCTACATTTCCCCATAAAGACAAAGAATATTATTATTTGTTATTCGTCTGTCTGTGAACAGAAACTTAAAATTATAGAAATGATTCAAAATGCTCAATATTGTGCAACACCGAACTTGAAATTCAAGTTTCATATTGGTAAACAGGTCGCGACACAAAATAGAATATTAACCTTTTCTTCCTCAGCGCCTTTTGACGACTCTGCGACCTCGGGCTTGCTTTCAGTGTCAGCCATCTTTCAACAAAGATAAATGGGAAAGATAGTCGAATTTTAGATCAAAAGGAAAAGGCTTTTTGGGTGATCGTGGATGTATAAGAAAATCAGTGTTCTTTATTTATTATATCTAGTTTTCACGTGCCCATAAACGTTTCACACGCTCTAATTAGTTAACGTTAAATTTATAAATTTTTTCCTAAATGATCAAGCTAGCGTATAATCTATCTGCCAACTTCAACCCTCTCAAAAAAAACCCCCTCAGCTTAAGTTTCAAAAGATTTTCCACCATCTCCACTATCACTAATATGTCAGAGTATAAGACACGAACTGTCGGAGCACCCAACACGTTAGATCATCGTGTTTTCATTGGTATACTTACAATACCATGATGATAATTTAACTTGACAACTGCGAATAAAAACGTTAATAAGCTATTGAAAATTTCCAGAGAAAAATGGGCAAGTAATTTCTCCTTTTCATGATATTCCTCTTTTCGCAAATGAATCAAAGACGGTTTTGAACTTCGTGGTGGAAATTCCTCGATGGACGAATGCGAAAATGGAGGTAATTTCAAAAGTTTTTATTATAATAACCGTTAATGTCGCATAAAGGACAGAATTGGCATTAAAATGCAACGTATACTTATCTTAATCAAGAAGTTATTGACTTTGAACATTTGAATTCGCATCAAAGATTTCCAAAGAGGAAGCATTTAATCCCATCAAACAAGATGTCAAAAAAGGTAAACTTCGCTATGTTCGTAACTGCTTCCCACATCATGGATACATTTGGAATTATGGTGCTTTCCCTCAGGTTTGCTTTTTGCGTTTCATACGCTTTCATCATTTACTATCCTATGAATTGATTATACGGAATAATTATAGACTTGGGAGGATCCTACGGTAATTCATCCAGAAACAAAAGCCAAAGGTGATAATGATCCAATAGATGTTTGTGAAATTGGTGAACAAGTTGGTTATTCTGGCCAAATTAAACAGGTTAAAGTATTGGGAATTATGGCTCTCTTGGATGAAGGTAATCTTTTTTTGTTTTTATTAATTTTAGAATGATTTTAAATGAATGGTGCTTATCGATCTAATATGTGATTAATATTAACATTGAATTCAAGGTGAAACTGATTGGAAGGTTATCGTCATTGATGTAAATGATCCCTTGGCAAATAAACTGAATGGTATAACTCCAATCTAGTCATCGTTATTATTCCTTTTCAGTTAATACATATATATACATATATATATATATATATATATAAAAATATGTACATATATAAATAACAGACATCGAGGATGTTGAAAGACATTTACCTGGACTTATTCGTGCGACAAATGAATGGTTCCGTATTTATAAAATTCCTGACGGTAAACCTGAAAATCAATTTGCTTTCAGCGGTGAAGCAAAAAATAAAGTAAGAAAATTTGATTTTTTATATACATATACCTATCATACTATCTATCTATCTATCCAGTAGTTTGTTACTAATTCAGCGATTATAATTTTAGAAATACGCTACTGAAATAATTCATGAAACTCACGAGGCATGGCGACGTCTTATCATGGGAAGTACTGCGGCGAAAACAGATAAATACGATCTTAGCATGTAAGTTTCACTTTCACTTTTTCTTATATTAATTATTTTTCTTAAAATACGAAAAAATATCGAATGTTTATATTATTAATTTTATAGTGCAAATCTCACGGTTGAAAATAGTCCTGGTAAGATTACTGTTGATGATCCTTTGTATCAATCTATTCCTGCAGATTCAAGACAACCATCAGCACCTATTGATCCATCAGGTATGTAAAAATGAAAATAGTCTAATTTTTCTCGTTATGCCTGTTTGTGATCTGATATAATTCTTTATTTCTTAGTTGACAAGTGGTTTTTCATCTCCGGAACATCTAATTTGTAAAAACATAGAGAGTAGATTTTAATCATTTATTATTCAAAAAATTGAAAGTTAATAACATTAATACATTCTGTTTAATTTAATTGCTTTGACTCGAATAAATTTAATTCTTGGATCCTGACGCAGATGATGTAGTGGTTGCACCCCCATTTTCACCTCCTGCAGTTGATGAAGCAGTCACGGTGGCTCCTTCAGAAACCTTTAATTAAAAGGATATTAGAAAATAATCAAATTTTATGTATAAATAATTCAAAAAAAATTTAATGATACCTTGTTGGAATAACTTTCTCTTCGTAACTCCTTAACAACTGCCTATTATTAAAAATAAGGGATAAATAAAATACTAGTTTATCTGGGACAATTTATTCATTTTCACTTAACAGCCAATGCCTCCGGATTTACTCCTTCCTCACAAAGTTGAACACACAGCGATATTGTCTCGCGATCAACATTGGCATTTAAGATTGTAGCAATTTCGTGAAGAACTTTAAAAAGCTCACATTAGCATTTAATTAATTAAGCAATTAACAAGCAAACTTATATAAATTTGATCATAAAAATAAAAAAGTCCACCATCCAGCGTTTCTCGCGCCTCTTGAATTTTAGGATTCTCCATGTTTGTGTTCTATTATTATTCTTTATAACAAGTTTTTTATATGAAATTTCGTTCATGCCAGCCAATCAATTTTTTGATATAAAATATGATCAACTAAACCGAAATTTTCACTGTTCTAACTTCCATGTCACATTCTTTGCTCGTACTTGGTCCGTCTCCAGCTTCCTGGACTAACGATACAAATTTTCGTGTCCATACTGGAATATCAGGCAAATTTTAGGCTCATTTATCAATTTAAAAGAGATGTTCGAAGCGACACGCTCATGTCTTGACTTTGAAAAATTTGACAGAATGTATAGTTAGGAAAATCGAGCCCGTTGGTCGTCATTTTCTCGGTCATGCGCGCCGGAAATTGCATAATCACTCTTTTACAGAAGACCAGCGCATTCAAGCTGAAAAAGAGACATACAAAACACAGGATTCTATTCTAGAGGATTCTGAAGAGGAAACTGCCGAGTTACTTTCAAGAGATCCGAAAGATTGGAAGGTAAAAATTCTCAAAGCGTTTGCGTTTTTCTTAGGCTTTCGAATTCATTTTTTTTTCCCTTTGATTGATTCTTTAACGATAAAATTGGATATGAATAGGATCAAGATCATTATGCCGTTCTAGGACTTTCTAAATATAGATGGCGAGCAACCGAGGAGCAAATAAAGTTGGCTCGTAAGTTTTCTCGTACTTTTTCCGTTTACTATGATGTATTCCATTACTTATTATCGTTCAATGATAGATAGGAAGAAAGTTCTAAAACATCACCCCGATAAAAAAGCTTCCAGCGGTAACATGAATGACGATGCTTTCTTTAAATGCATCCAAAAAGGTAAATAAATTCGATTTGGACCTGTTACTCAAAATCATGTGATGTTTCTTATTATTATTTATATTTGTTTTTAGCACATGAGATTCTATCTGATCCCGTTAAACGACGACAATATGATTCCATCGATCAGGAAATCGATGATTCTCCACCTAGTCTAAAGACAAAAGGGGACTTTTTCGAGATATATGGTCCGGTCTTTGAACGAGAAGCTAGGTATAAAACTTGCAATTTACTAGATCAATTACTTTCCGATCAATCTTTATGCTAAAATTTATTTTCTCTTAGGTTTTCTAATAAGACACCTGTGCCATTATTGGGTGACATTAATACTACAAAAGAAGAATTAGAAGCATTTTATGACTTTTGGTAAATTCAATTTTGATTTTGTGATTTTTTCCGAAAAATTATTCTAATAAGTGTTATCTAGGTATAAGTTTGATTCGTGGCGATCGTTTGAATATTTAGACAAGGAGGATGCTGATAGCACTGACAAGTATATTGCTTGCTGTTAACTAAACATTCATTATAAATATAAAACCTCAATGATATTTATACGATCATTTGTGATTTAGTCGCGATGATAAACGTTATCTTGAAAAGAAAAACAAAGCGGAGCGAGCAAGGCGCAAAAAAGAAGATAACACGAGACTTCGAAAAATAGTTGGTATGGAGGTTTTCATTTCTTTGATCTAAGAATTTTTGCATAAATAATAGTTATAATAATAATAATAACAACAAATCGATCATAAACCTATTACATAGATAATGCGCTATCTTTAGATCCTCGTATACAAAAATATAAGAAAGAAGAAAAAGCAGCCAAGGAAGCAAAAAAGAGAGAAAAGGAAGAGGCAGCCAAACGCGCCGAGGAAGAAGCAAAAAAGGTAGAGTTTGATGTAGTGAAATCAAATCAAATTCGTATAATAATAAATGTTAGAATGCGAATACATGAGTGAAATTATCAATAAATATATTGCATATTAAGCCTACATTAACTAAATAATTATATCATCATATAGGCTGCTGAAGAAGAAAAAAGGAGACAAGAGGAAGCTGAAGCTGAGGCGAAGCAAAAAGTGAGATTATTTAACGAGGTCCGCTAACTCAAATAAAGTAGAAATTGACGCATCATTTTCATAATTAATAGCAACTTGAAGAAAAGAAAGGAAAGGCAGCAAAGAAAAAAGCATTGCGTAACGAGCGCAAGAATATCAAAAATTTTCTAAAGGTAAAATAACAATAAACAATAATAAGCATTTTTTCCTGAAAGCAGACTTAAATACAGAAAATTACCTGATTTTCTATTAGGAACAAAATTACTTTTACCCCAATAATGAAAATCCGCCAGTGGATGTAATTGACGTTCAGCTTTCCGAGTTAGACGTTTTACTTGAAAATATGAGTGTTGAGGAGCTACAACATCTAAAAAATCAATTAACAGATGCAAAAAGCAAAGGCGACGCTAAAAATGTTCTCAAAAAAGAGGCGAAAAGGCTTTTGAAAACGGGAATTCTCGCAGCTGACGTTATCCACTACTTCGCTACTGGTATAAAAAATGCGCGTTATTTTTTTCATTTTATATTTTGTTAAAATATCTTTTCAAATCATTTCATGCAGAGGAAGAAGAACCGACAAGCAACGAACCCATTAATGAAAAAGGGGACATTAAGAAACAAGAACAAGAAGCAAAACAAAAGAAACAGGAAAATAAAGAATCCAAAGAAATAAGAGAATGGTCGGTTGAAGAGATTTCATTATTAATTAAAGCGGCAAATAAATTTCCTGGAGGGACATTGAATAGGTGAAATAGCTGCTGCTGGCTTTATGATTACTACTAATAGGAGAAACAAAGTTGGAAAAACACTAATGTACGTAAAACACTGCAAAAAATGCTGCGTAGATGGGAGACTATAAGTGAATATGTAGCTTATCATGCCGGATTACCTCCACGGAGTAACGAAGAACTGATTCAAAAATCTAACGACGTAAAAAAAGGCAGGTATTTCTTTGTCTTTATTATTATCAATAACATATTTTATTGGGTGAGATAAATAATCATGCGATTTTTTTTATTGGCATTTTAGGAACAATTGCATTAGATGATGAAGCCGTGCGAAAATTGCAGCATCAAAAGAAACATGCTGATTCTCGGATAACCGAAGATCCTTCAATACGAGAAGCAACTATTAATTACGATGATCCAATATTATTGGCAAACGAAAATAAATCAGATCCTTCCAAATCGAAATCAAAGAAAAAATCCACAATTAATAAAACAACAAAATCTACGTACGCAGAAAATGATTCGAATAAAAAAAATCAGGTCACGAAAGAAAACGGGACAGGTTCAGCAATCAAACCCGAAGATTTAACTGTATCGGATGAAATATCGCCTTCCACAATTGTATCATCATCCATCTCCACATCTACTACCAATAACACTTCAGCAACAACGTGGACTGCAGAACAGCAAGCTCAATTAGAGCGAGCCCTCCAGGCATATCCACCCGATTGGAAAGGAAATGGAGATCGATGGGAAAATATAACTAATGCTGTGGAGGGCAAAACTAAGAAAGAATGCAAACTACGTGTCAAGGTGTGTTAAAATCCATTTAAATCTGATGAATTCAATCGTCGCAGGGTTGTATGGGTAAATACATTCGAACGAGTTTATTCGATTGGCTCTTCAATATGTATTGAGCCAACCAATCAAGAAATTTCATCATTTAAATTCTTTTTGGTCTTTATTTCTCCAAAATGGTGTGAACGTTTCTGGAAAAATGATTGACAGCTCCTAAACAATCCTGAACGAGATTAGTTCTGCATGCAAACTGTTAGATTAATTTACTTACAAACCTGTACATTATAGTATTTAGTCGAACAAGTAAAGGCGAAAAAAGCTGCATCTGGCGGAAAATAACTTTAATCGTCCTGCATGCATAGCGTAAGTAATTCACACGGTCACGTCTCAATTTGTTCTGTTAATATAAATATTAGAGATGAGCTTATTTAAGAAAAACAACAAGAGACCTTCTTCACTATTTTATCATTATTTTTTTACAATAGATTTTTTTGTTTAGAATTCTCTTTATGCCATTCCATAAAGAAAATAATTCACATGTATTCATTGGCGTAAATTTTAGCTCATCTGCAAACCTGCAATATCTCATGCTAACGATTCATTTTACCAAATAATAATAATAAATTAATATAATAATGATAATAAAAAAACCATATAACTCGTTACTTTCTCTCTTATTTTACTTTATCATTACGAAACTAAAAATAATTTGTTACGACATATTTGAACATTTTTCTCTACATTATGATAACAGATAAGAAACCGTATGTTTCCGTACTTTGCAAAATGACTACAATAATATCCGAACAATTAACTTTTCTTGTGCAACGTTGTCACTCGACGATTAACGCTGAATGGCAATCTATCGCCATTGATTCCCCTTTGATGCACTTTAATATTGTCGTGTGACCATCGTGCGACACATTAAATACAGTGAGTGAAATTCGTGTGACATTGAATTACCCCTGTCTGTTTTTTATTGTATTGATTGGGCTGGGCAATTGATTGAGACACTTGCACAATCCTCATTGGATTGTTTGGATTGTTTGACGTCAGGATAAGGTCACACAGGGGGTAAAAAGCCAAAATTAGTAATATTCTCTGTCGATATTGGGGCCATTGCATGATTGTTGGGGCAACTGCATAGTATTGGGCGAATGTTGTGATACCTTTGTGCAAGTTGAGACTTGTTTGCCTATTAATTTTGGTAGTACAACACGAGATTCTGCACGATTTTTTATTGTTGCAGGGGTTATTTTCATCACCTCCATCATTGCAATATCAAATTAGTATTGTAATAAATAATAGTAATAATAATAAAAATAATAATAATAGAACGACTGATTTATAAAATTATTTTCTTTTGGCGGAGTCTCAAAAAACTTATTTTATTACAGGTTTTGTATAAAAAGGTTGGCGATTCCTTTTCTTGTACCCAAACAAATTTCTATGTGATTAAACTCACAAAAATTACCTCACAAAATTTGAAGATCAAAATTTCCTTTTGTAAAAAAGTTAAAAAAGCGAAAAAATAGGTAAGCTTTTGATAATAAATAATAAAATTTGCAAAAGCAAATTTCTTGTTTATATTGATATTGGAAATAAAAAAATGTTTCAAGAACGTAAAAAAAAATTTTGTAAATGGATACTTTCAATTTTGTGAGAAACATTAAAATAAAAACTCTGTTTCACAAGTTAAAATTTTGGTGTAATTCTACCCGGGTGTGATCTACGCACTCTAAGCACGTGACTAACAATATTAAATTTTCTAGCAACTGAATGTTTGCTGGAATGCAGTCTCAGGGCACTTTTGGTGGGGTCAACTCTCATAGCTCACACACAAATATGACACAGATTTCGACAAATTCATCACAACCAGACAGCCAGCAACCACTACCACCACTACATTCTACATTAAATCTACAACAACAGCACCAACAATTAGTGAATAATAATAGTACGACCCATTCACCAGTTGATATTTCCTTGAATAGTCATAGCAATCAGTCTAAATCTAGCAAAAGACGTCGGAATACGAATACCAAAACAGAAGTAGTAATACCAGCACCGAATCAGTCTACGTCTATGCCAAATAATAATATTAATAGGCCACCCATTGCCCCACGAACGCACACGCTACAATCACAACAAACGCAGCAGCAGCAACAGAGGTCCCAAATCGGAACTTATGTCGTGCCACAGCTACCAACAAATCAGCAACTAGTTGCCTTGCAACAACAGCAGCAACATACATATTCATCTCCGATGCACATGGCATTAATTCAGGTAGGTTACTGAAAAAATAAATACAACTTGTTTCAATTTACTCATCCCATAAAAGCTAATAATACAATGTAAATATTTGGTTTAAAGCAGCAGCAACAGCAAATTTCACAGGCAATGGGGATTCCGCGGCCTAATAATATAATACCAAGTAATTATACGCAAATAGCATCATCACAGGGACAAAGCTATCATCATCGTAAGTGTGTAAATTATGCTTGCAAAAAAAAAAGAATTCGTCAATCTTTTGATTAGTTGGTGAAGTATGAAATTTTGATTAAATAACCAACCTTATCTTAATCAATCCACCATTCGATCAATACTTGGTTGAAGAAAATCCGCAACTCTCTAATTAATATTCATCATTTTTAATCATGCTCATTAGCTTCTTACAATCATCAAACTAATATGATGCAATTCCTTACACCTCAACAACTACTGTTGCAGCCACAACAATACCAACTCGGCATTCAACAACAACAACATCATCATCAACATCAACAACAACAACATCATCAACAACAACATCATCAACAACAACATCATCATCATCAACATCAACAAAACCTGGCCATAATGCAGCAACAACAACTAAATGCATTGCAGCAACAGCAGATTCAGCAACAAGTTATACAACAACAACAACAACAGCAGCAGCAGCAGCAACAACAACCACAACAACAACAATCACCATCGCCGCCACAGCAGCAGCAGCAACAACAGCAACAAGATGTTGCTGAACGGCCGGAAACTTTTGATGAGGTTGTTGAGAAAAATAACGGAATTCTAATAAGTATGCAATCCGAATTCCAATCAAAAACTAGTTTTGTGGATGCATGCAATCGATTAGCAGATTGGTTGTCGGATGAACGAGCATACGTGGAACAACAACAGGAAAATATTTATAAATGCTTAAAGGTAAATTTCATAATCGTTATTTTGAACAATACCAAATTAACTTCGTTATTTGATTTTTTTTCCTAATAATCTTTATTTAATATTGTTAATCTTTCCTGAATAAAAAAAAGTTAGTTAGTGATAATATAGGTCACGATTGGGAAGCTGGGCGCCAAGTATATGCCGAGGTGCAAAAATTTGTTCGCATGTTTAAAAATGACAATTACAAAAGTACGTGAGCCTTAAATAAATAACTTTTCCATATTCATTATATTAATACATTTTTCACATAATAGGGGATATAACACAGTGGCTCAATTGTTTTAATTCGAATATTACAAACAATACGCCTAATTTACCCGTTCAAAATGTCAATATTCATTCTTTACCTACACAAAATGTGGTTAATAACCATCATCATCATCACCATCATCATCACCATAATCAAAGTATTCATCAATCTACGGGCCGAAGCGGCTCGAGAAGTCGAGCAAATTCTATTCGGCATCAACAAACCATTCCACAGCAACAAATCGTTCGTAAACCGCCACCGAATCATAATAATCCCAATAGTAGTCACGTGTCTAGCAGCAATATTCCACCGGAAAATGAACCCATATTTCAACGGGTGGATCCAGAGGCGCAAAATGTTCATTGGAGATTAGAACACAAACAGAACTTCAGTGAGCCGGAACTTAGGCACAGACAGAGCTACAGCGATATGGACATAAAGATACATTCTCGTGACCTAAACAGAATCTATAGGTAGTTAGTAGTAATATTGGTGTTGTAAATTATATCAAGGTATCATCTAACAAAATAAATTAATATAGGCCCGAGAATCCATTTATCCCGACAATCACCACGGAACAAAGAGATCTTCCTCTTTCCATTCGACTTATATGTCGGAAAACGAATCGTCATGATGAAGATAAATGCGAATGGCCAGAAGGATTATCACTTTACCTCGACGGTAATCCTTTGCCCTTTGAAAAGGTAATTTCTTGCGTTAATTATTTTTGTTTATTAATCATTAAATGTATATAATTTTATTTCTGCATCAATTATTAATTACATAATTCCAGCGAGTTAAACAAATGGTAAATGGTCGAAATGATCAGTTTGTCTACAATGGAATAGATCGGCCGCTGGATTTGAGCAATTGGATTCGAAATACACATCACAGGCTAAGGATAAGCGTGCCCGGCAATGCTTGTTGCTGCGTAAGTGAACTTCTATATAATAATAATCTTTGACGTCTCCTATCATCCGTTTTCGAAACACGTTTCATGTTGATGACCACCAAAAAACCCTTCAATTAGACCACACAGCAATATGGCGGAGGCCTAGAGTGTCGTAGTGTAGTGTTTCCCCCTTTTTCAATTTTGTGTACCATTTCTTGTGACACCAAACAATATTCTTATTGACGCAATTTTTCTATATGATTCTTTTTTTATTAAATAGAATTATCGATTCTCCATCGAATACCTGTTACGGGAAACTCGTGATATTGTATTGCATAATGCTCGACGAAATACAATTCCTTTGGAAGACGGAATAAAAGTTGGTGCGTATCATTTTATACGATCATTATATTATTTTATTTAGGTTCGAAAAATATTTACGAACCTAATGGCTTTTATTCTAGTAAACCGACTTGTTTCTGGCAATAACACCACCAATAACGATGATGTCATGATAGTGCAAACCGTTGTAAAAGTTTGCATGAAATGTCCTCTCACTTTAACGAGAATAAAAGAGCCCGTTAAAGGAGTTGATTGTCGTCATGTTGCGGTATGTATTGATTGTTTTACTAGCTCACTTCATTACTAGTTAGTCATCTGTAGTATAATTCAATATTTATGTAGTGCTTTGATCTCACCTCATATGTTGAGGTGAATAGAATAAAGCAAACGTGGAACTGTCCTGAATTTGGATGCCGGTAAATAACTTTATTTTTTCAACAAATTAAAGTGTATTCTCGCTAAATTTATCTTTTTATTTATAAATTAGTAATAAAGTTACAGCAGACAAATTACGCACAGATCTCTTTTTCAAAAAATTGTTGGATGAAGTGCCTCAGTAAGTAATTGTGTTCTTTTATCTTGAAACATATTTCATACTATTTTCTAAAAATTTTTTTTCATTTCTAAAATTTTTTTAGGGATGCGACGATGATCGAGCTAGGAATGGATGGGTCGTGGAAACCAGTATCAGATGGGTCCAATGATGGCGACACTGATTCAGAACGTCACGCGAAAAAAACAAAACCAGCACCACGAAATGAACCTAACAATCAAGAAGTGATCGTATTGGATGATAGTGATGATGACGACAACAACAAACAAGATCAACAAAAATCCGAAGCAAATAACAACCATCGCGCACCAATTCCTTCTTTTAATAATGTCCCAATAAATCGAAGGCCAGAAATCTCAATACCACCCCCAACTTTTTCGAGACAAACAATAGCGCCAGCGGAGAGCAATAATCTAATATCATCATCTACATCACCTACAATCGGAAAATCAAACACCCCTTCTCCGCCACTTCCGCTCACGCCAATGGACCAACGCATAATGAATTTACCACCGATTATTACATCAAACCACCAAATGACGACAAAAAATGATTTTGTTGTTGATTCGAATCGTAGACTAACGGACTCCTTAAATAGCGATGACTTAAGTAAAACGATAAATAATGGTAAGTAAACATTCAGCCTACTTATTATATGCTCTTTATTAAATCAATTGGTGCTAATTAATATATCTTGAAATAATTAGCCAAAGAAAATAATGTGAATAACAATAACAACAATAACAACAGCAGTAGTAATAGTAACATTAAACAACAAGAAACGAGACTCGCTTCAGCTAGATTTCCTACTAATATTAATTCAACGAATTATATCGATGATGGAAGTTTGACTGAAGAAGAGGAAGAGGAAGTAATGGATTCTGGGAGGGTAATTATGAAGTGATCTGAAAAAAATCCATATTTCATTTTTTCGTAAACATCATACACATACACTCACCACATACATACATATACACACACACGTACATACATACATACATACACATACATACACATACATCATACATACATCATACATATAAATACATTCCCTTTCCCTCTCGTCTTGTAAATTCCCCTTTACATATTTCCTTTTGTATATTCAATTTCATTATTCGACAGATTTTTTTAAACGAATCGAATCAATTTTTTTAATCGATCAATTTATTAATCAATTAGTAATTGCAATTGCTGTTGTATTTATCGATCGTTGTTAATCGTCTAATATAGCACACAATTCTTTGTTAAATAGTCATCAGTAAAAATCATTTGCATCATCATGAAATAATAAAAACGTTGTTGAACAATAATAGTCATTACCACCGTTATGTAAATATTCCATTCTCTCTTTCACATAGGTGAGACGACTCGGTTCTTGTAAACATTAAGTTAACAATAATGTTAATTCAGTTTTTCATACCATAACTACATCCATAACATGGTACAGTAAATCATGGAGAATTTAATCTCAGACAATATTATGATTCTGCATGTATTGGAATTGTGAATATGGCAAACTAATAATTATTTAAAGTAATGAAAGTGTTTCCTGATAGAAAGTAATAGTTACTGGCCAAATTCTTTATGGTTTCAATAATAACTCGAACTTAAATATAACATTATATTAAAAAAGCGAAATAATATAATTATGTGAAATAACGTTAACGTTAAGAGAAAAAATTTTATTTTTATTCAAAATTACAATCTTTAAAATAATTTTTGAATTATAAACGTTTTTTGACACGTCATTTTCTTGAAAGATAGAAATGGTATGCATATCTACATGTATTTCTTTACTTTCATATAATCATAAATTTATTAGTCGATCAAAAATAAAATATGAATTAACATAAAACTAAGTAACAATAAACCCCGTAATTCTTTAACGAATTTCTTCTAACGTTGGGGATGATGCGCCATAAGTTGCCGGTAATCTTAAAATAGTCGGCGTGATCTTTTTGTTAATGTCAAGAAAACCGCAAGCTAATGCAATTGAGCGTTTTAATTGTTGAATGAGAATCTGTCTTTCATCTTCATCCTAAGAATATTTTATATGTATGTATGTATGTATGTATATTAAGCGGACACATTTGAATGATTATAAATGATATAATTATTACCGTTAATATGGTATAGAAAATTGGAATATTTGAATAATTTTCTTTGAAAAATTCTTCGAGATCCGATCTGTCAAATGTATATTGTGTGATTTTACCTACTACGTAAAGTTTCCGAATTTGAGCAATCTTTTCTTGCAGCAATTCATCGATTTTACTATATTATGCATACCTTCAGTGACTATTACACAACATCTTCCGAGAAAATATTCTTCGTGTAATCTCAACATGGACTCTTTTAGCTGATGAAACCTGGCAATTCCTTGGGTCATAGAGATCATAAAGATCACATAATCTATACGTGGTCGATCGGTTGTTGATGACGATGGTAAAGGAAGAGATTCGACTGTACGTCTAAGAAAAAAAAATAATAGAATTCAGTTATTTCATTCCGAAAATCAAATTCTTAGAAGACGCAAATCGAGGATAACAGACACGCTCAGCTTCATATCTTTTTCATCATCAGCTTTATATCTTGTTGATTGATTGATCTCCTCGTTTTGGATTATCTGTTGTTGTGAATGCACTAAATGTTGAGCGAGAATGCGTTTTCCAACTCCATCCGCGCCAATAATCTTTGATGGTGAAACAATTATTATTCTTGACGTGCATTAATTAGTATCAACAAGACAATGAATGATCAAAATGAAAAAATGGTTTACTAAAATTGTCGCGTTTTTTTCAATGTTATGTGAGGGAAGTTTACTGAATATGTATGGCTCAATTTGAGTGCCGTTCGCATTCATTCTATTCATGTTTTCGAGATAACAATTCTAGGATGTATAAATTATTTATTATATACATGTATGATGTTATTTATCGATGTTTACAATCAGCCAATCAAAATTTCAACAAGATAAAACCACATAAAATAATATTCTTAAATTTTTGCATCTAATTTAACTTATTAATTACGCTAACGTTGCATTATAATGATAAATATAATTGAGAATAATAAAATATTCTAAAAGAAGCATTACAATCGACTACTGCTGCTACTGCTTGTATCGTCAACCGGAAGATTTTGGTATTCGACAGAATTTGAAAGAGTGCCGATACTCTCAATTTCAATAGAAACTTTATCACCGTCCTGAAGATAAATGGGTGGATTTCTAACAAAACCAACACCTAATCAAACGTAGACAATTCAATTTCAATTTTTTTTTTAATAACGAAAAAAGTAGTTCATGCTTTATAATGCTGGCTTTTTACCTTCTGGAGTACCGGTTAAAATTAACGAACCAGGCTGTAAGGTAGTTCCTTGGCTTAGAAAACTAATCAATGACGGAATATCAAAGATCATATCGGATGTATTGGAGTCTTGTAACACTTTGCCGTTGACGATTGCTCGAATTGCAAGTGTGTTAGGATTTGGGATGATCTTGGGGGATACCAGTGCTGGACCAATAGGTGAGAAGGTGTCAAATCCCTTTGAGAAACACCATTGACCAGAACCCAAACTGGTTCCTGAGCATTATACAAATGGTTATTATTGCTATCATTATCATTATTTTAAACAAATTATATAATACCTTGCCATTTCCTAGCCGAAACATCATTAGCCGCCGTATATCCAAGTACATAGTCTAAGGCTTGCTCTTTCGTGACATCTTTACACGGTTTCTTTATCACCACCGCCAACTCCGCTTCGTAGTCCACCTGATTATTTGATGCAATATGTGGGACTCTGATTGACTCGAAAGGATCCTGTAGAGAATTCGATGGTTTAATAAATAGCACGGGGAAATTCGGTATTGTTTGTTTTGTTTCTTTGGCGTGTTTACGATAGTTTAGGCCGATGCAACGGATTATTGGAACTTGAGACTTCGAGAGTGGAGAGAGTAACTGATTGTAATAATAATTGTAACCTTATGAATGATATATAATGAAATAAATTAATACTATTTAGATCATCTTATACCTTTTTTACTGGTAATATAGTATCTGTTATTTGATATGAATTGAAAATATCTCCGGTAATCACTCTTGCTTCGAGACCCGTTATAGAAGAAGGCCAAGTATAATTGTCATCTAGAATTGGTTCTCCTTGATATTCTTTTCCATCGGTGCTGATGAAACTGTATCGGAAATTATATTGGGTAAGATGAAAGAATTCAAATAAATTCTAACTAAATAAGATTAGGAATATTTACCGGATTAAGTGACTCCAAGCCTAGAAAATATCATGAATGTGTTTCAATGTTAATTAATCGTTAATTAACGTAAAAAAAAATTAACGTTAATGATCATACGAGTTAACTAACCTGAGAAGGGGATGATAATGTAGACATGTTTTTGAGTGATAATAAAAAATGTGTCTTTATTTTTCCAGTAGAAAGATTGAAGAACTTGCAAGAATCAAAGTTGTGGAAAACACGTAACATTTTATAAAAATCAGTGTGAGAAAAAAATTGAAGTGGAAGGTTTCTTTTTTAATAGATAATCATTGTGAGGCCAATGTATATACAAATCTGGTACACTTATTTTAATTCATAGGAGTTCTACACATTCATTTTTTATCTTTATGACTCACTCGGTCGTTATCAATTTTTAGTTATTCTTTGTATAACGATAATCGTGGAAATCCTGTTGATTATGCTTAAAATAGATAACCTGGGGTCATTCAATAACGATAACAATTACCAAATAAAGTTTTTTGATTGTCTGCTTCTAGGAATATCAAGTGGCTTATATAGCTAATTGAATTTCCCAATTCTTTATTGTTATAATTATGGCTTCAGAGTTTCCACGCCTCGTAAGGGGAATCACGGTTGAACGCTTAGACAAGTTCACCTCAAAAGACTTCTTTGCAGATGTGAACTTGTTCTCTGCGTTGTACAAAAAACGCACTGATGACTTCAAACATGTCCGTCTTCAGGTTCATTCTGTTCAGGGTTTAAAGCGTATTCCCTTTGACGAAGCCATTAAGAAAGAATTTCGACCGGCGAGTGTCGGCGATTCGTTTGGTCCGAGTTGGGTGAGTAGAGGAAGATAAAAGAACAATAGGAAAAATTGAGATATTCTTAATCAGGATATCTATATAATAGAAATGTTATATGTCAAAATTGGCTTTGTTGCTATTCACTTGTACCGACTCATGAAACTCATATTTTATATGTCAGTCTACACATTGGTTTCATATTGTTGTTAACGTGCCAAATAATTGGGTTGACGAAGAAGTTCAATTTTTATGGAATTCGGATAACGAGGGATTAATATGGTCTAAAGATGGTGTACCACTGCAAGGACTTACTGGTGGTGGTAAGATTCAAGTCGAGTTGAATAAAATATAATAATAATAATAATACGGGTTATTAAAAATCACTATAACATTGTTATTTTTAAAATATAGGCGGACTTGATCGTCGCGTCGAATACATTCTTACTCCACGCTCAAAAGGAGGTGAAAAGTTTGAATTCTACATTGAGATGGCATGTAATGGAATGTTCGGAGTCGGCGACAATGGTCTCATTAATGCACCCGACCCACGAAAATATTATACTATTCGTGAGGCAGCATTAGCTGTACCCAATAAAGCAGCATGGGAACTCTGGTATGATTTTCAAATTATCCGTGGGATGGCTAAAGACATGCCACATGAATCGATACGCGCCGCACAAGCACTTTACGCCGCAAATGAGATTGCGAATGCTTTTCATCCGCATGATGATCACTCTATCCAGGATGCAATTAAAATTGCTAAAGAATTTTTGAAAGACAAAAATGGAAGTACGCAGCATCAGTTGATTGCTGTTGGTCATTGTCATATTGATACCGCTTGGCTATGGTGAATTATTATTTTTTAATCACATCAGTTATCGTATTATCTGAATTAAACTGATCTTCTGAATATTAAGGCCTTTTGATGAGACAAAGCGTAAAGTTGCGCGTAGTTGGTCAACTCAGGTTGACTTAATGGATCGATATCCTGAATTCAAATTTGTATGCTCGCAGGCGCAACAATTTGAGTGGTTAAAAGAGTATTATCCAAAATTATTTCATAAAGTACAAGAAAAAGCCAAAAAGGAGCAATTTTTACCGATTGGAGGAGTAAGTAATGTGAATTTTTTAACGTGGGTGTTTTCTTTTTTCTTTTTAAAATGATTAATTAATTTTATAATTCATAATAATAATAATAATAATAATAGACTTGGGTAGAAATGGATTGCAACATGCCGAGCGGCGAAGCTTTTTGTCGCCAATTTCTATACGGGTAAGCTTATTATTTTATAATTTATATGATGGATAATAAATAGAATGGACTAAATTGAACACGTCATCTTTATTGGTCAGACAACGATTCTTTGAAAAGCATTTCGGGAAAAGATGCAAAGTCTTTTGGTTGCCAGATACTTTTGGTTATTCCGCCCAGTTACCTCAAATTATTCGAAGTGCTGATATGAAATATTTCTTTACGCAAAAATTATCCTGGAATAATATTAATAAAGTATCTGTCTCTCGTGAGAGCTTGTTTGCTATTGATTATATATAATATTCTTATAATTGCGATTGGTAAACTTGTTATTAGTTTCCCAATACGACATTCTATTGGGTTGGTCTAGATGGTACTAAGGTAAAGGTTATGATTCTATTATTTATAGCCTAATAAATATTTTATTAAATTTTTTTAATTAACCATTTCAAAAAACAGGTTCTTACTCACATGTGTCCAAGTGAGACGTAAGCTCTTTTCTGTGCATCTTTATATTTTATATAAAAAGAATTAATTTTTTTTAACTTTTCAATTAAGTTATGTGGCTCAAGGGACCGTCGATGAGCTTATTAAAAGCGTAACCAATAATAAAGATAGAGAATATACCAATGAAAGTTTACTTGTATTCGGTAATGGTGATGGTGGTGGTGGTCCACTTCCTGCAATGATTGAAAGAATACGTCGATTGAAAGATATTGTAAGAATATTATTCTTAATTTTAATTCATTCTATCTTAATTCATTCTAATAATGTCTTAATTTTAAGGACGGCCTTCCAAAAGTTGAAATGGGATCGGCGGATGATTTCTATGAACGGCTTGAAAAAAATTCAAAGAAATTGATCACGTGGAAAGGAGAGTTGGTAAATAATATTGAATAAGTTATATTAATATTATCATGCTATACGAAAATACATTCAATCAATTATTTTTTATTTAAAGTACTTTGAACTTCATCGAGGTACTTATACTTCGCATGGACGTATTAAGCGATATAATCGAAAGTCCGAATTACTCTTGCGTGACATCGAACTTTTGTCGTGTCTTACTCAAATCATACACAATCATTTCAAGTATATTAAGTTTTTGTTTACCTGTTAACTTTTTTACTTTTAATTATTTTGCTGACAAATTTCATTTTTTCAATACCTTTTTTTTTAAAAAATAAAGATATCCGAAAGAGAAATTGGACAAACTCTGGAAATATGTCTTACTGTATTTATTTGTAATTTATATGGTGTAAGTCATGATCTAGAACTCGGCTTTTACTTATTTAAACTCATCTACTTAGTAATCAATTCCACGATGTCTTGCCTGGCTCTTCTATCGAGATGGTTTATGATGACGCGTATTTGGTAAAAAAAATTTTCTCATTTTAATCATTCTGCACTAAACTTACAAAAATTTTACATTAGTTTTATGACGAAGTTGAAAAAACTGGTATTTGTCAAATTGCATAATTTCTTTGATCATGTTATGCCACCTGTTCTCGATATTTAATAATATTTTCCATAAAAGGTGTAACTCTTCGTGATGAAGCACTCGACATTTTATTCGGAATATCAAAAAGTGTTGAAAGTAAACATAAAGGTAAGTCAATTTGATATCTTTCTTTTTTCATCATTATGCATTAAAAATATTAAATTTGTCATTTTTGCTTTTAGGATTGGTCGCATTCAATACTTTGTCTTGGGAAAGAAATGAGCTCGTCAAAGTTTCGGTTACTGATGGATTACCAAATCTGCAACAATATAGCGAGGATAAAAAAGAAGGATACGCCTTTGGTATTTTTTAGTTTTGTTTAGCATAATTAGTTCAATCATTCTTAAGTGCAAAATCGAATATACTAATATATATAAAATGTATAGTGAAAAATGTAATCGGTATTGGTGCTCAACCAATTGATCTTGATGATAAATCTGAATTTACTCCAGTAACTGGTAAGAAAAAAATATACATATTCCTTCAATTATGTAATATTTCGTTCTTCTAATAAATGAAATTAAACAACGATTCTCTTTTTAGCATTTGAGAATGGCCATGATTTTGTCTTACAAAACGAATTTATATCTGTGACGTTTGACAAACACGGTCATTTGACTAGACTCTTTGATCGTAAATTAGAGTAAGCATTTGCACTTTAAACAATTTTAGCTATATTTGATATTTATATAACATGTGGCTTTTAGTCGCGAGGTTATTCCTGAAGGTGAATTTGGCAATCGATTTAAGATTTATGAAGATATAGTATGTGATATTCATATTTTTTGCTGTGTATTATAAGCTATTAATTATTATTGCTTTATATTGATTGATATTTTTTGATCATTTTTGCAAGCCATTATTCTGGGACGGTAAGCTATTTATTTTTTTTTAATTGAATCTATATTGTTATATCCTCTATTAACTATTCATAAATCTATAATTACTATATTAATAGCTTGGGATGGTAAGGATCATTTTTTCCTGCTATCTTCTTTTAAGCTCATAATTATAATATTAATTATAATTATTTTTTTTTAATTCATTAGTTGAAATTTATCACTTGCAGAAAGGACGTGACGCTGGTCTTGGACATATCAAGGTAAACATAGAACAACTTTATTAGAAAAACTCACTTCTGCTTTAATTAATCTTATACATTCTGTTCAGATTCACGAACAAGGCCCACTACGTGCTTCATTAAAATTAGAGACAAAATTAACAAAGACGAGCAGTCTCACTCAAATAATTTCATTATCTGCAATCTCGGCAAGGATTGATTTCGAGACAGAAATTGACTGGGATGAGAATAGACAATTCTTGGTAAACATATAAAAATAAAACTAAAATGATGATTAATATACTTTAGAACAAATTAATCACGCTTTTTTAATGAATACAGAAAGTTGAATTCCCGGTTGACATTAATCGAGATGTTGTAAGTTGTGAAAGTGAATTAATTGCCTGCACGTCAAGGTTTCATTTCTTCAAATTAACAAACCTCATCCTAGGCAACTTACGAAACTCAATTTGGCTTTATTCAACGTCCAACTCATTATAATACTACATGGGACGCTGCTAAATTCGAAGTTTGTGGACACAAATTTGCCGATTTATCAGAATATGGTTACGGTGTAGCATTACTTAATGACTCTAAATACGGTATGGTTATTTGATGGATTATCAGTTGTTATTGAACTTAAATTGCATTTCTTTCTTGATTATTTACTCATTGTTTTAAAGGCTACTCAATCCATAATAACATTATCCGATTATCGCTTTTGAGGTCACCAAAGGTTTGTGATGATCTTCACATATCTATATATTAGCTTATTGACAATATAATGTAAAATCTTTTTCGAATTCAGGCACCAGACGCGCATTGTGATATAGGACATCACGTATTCAAATATGCACTCTTGCCGCACGCTAATTCTTTCTTGGGATCAAATGTCGTGCGTGAAGCTTACCAATTTAATGTTCCTCTCATTGTCAGGTGAATATATAATAACGGTTATCAAAGTTAAAATCATCCTAAGGATGGATATTAACAACGTTTCTTATTTTCAAACATTCAGATCAACATCCAGAGAAATCTCTGCCTCAATAGAACCTAAATCTTATTTCAAGATCGATGACGCAGAAAATGTTATACTAGACACGATAAAACGCGCCGAAGATTCCGATGAGATTGTGCTACGTTTGTTTGAAGCGTATGGTGGGCATGCTAAAGCGCGATTACGAAGGTTGATAAACTTATTTATTATGACGCAGGAAATTGTTGATTATTTGAATATTATTACTTATTTATATATATATATATATTTGATTTATATAGCACACTACCGATACATTGTATTTGCGAAACAAACATTCTTGAAGACACGCTTTCTAGCATCAAATATGATGATATAGATGGTGCAATTCTGAAGTTCCGCCCGTTCCAATTTATTACGTTAAAGGTGACGTTGAGGTGAGAAACTCTGACTATTTTTGTTGCAGCCTTTTCAGCCGAAACATCGCATATTCTCTGGAAACATCAACAAAAATGTCAACCAATAAGATTGTGCAATCGTTCATGTAAGAATTTAATTAAAGAATTAATCGCCCAATCACACACATATACACACATACACAACCATAATTTCATTAACCCAGCAGCCTGTAGTAACATTGAACGCATTCGTCTTTAGCACTGTTGCTTAATTATTTAATCAATTGATTATATTACTAAAATCAATCTAATTTTGGATTTTTAGGGATCACGAATGGACTTTTGTATAATCTTTATTTTAATTAGGTTCATTGCTTGCTTGTTTATTTATAAAATTTTTGGTTTAAGTATGATAAATAAATGTAAAAAAGAATCTTGATACTTTTTATATTTAGCATTTTATTATGCTTTAATTTTTAAAAGTTAAAATGATTTTTAAATATTATCATGATAAATTTTGCAATTTTATGTTTATATTAAGCAAATATATTATTACTATGCATATAATAAATAAATATGGACCGGTGCAAAAAGATTGGTACATCAATATAAAAATCAATAATTGCTTCTAATAAAAGTCATTCAAATTTTAACTAATCTTTATAATTTTTTTATATTAAGTAAAGAACAATCTAAATTAACTTTTTATACTATTTTAATTATCCTATTATACTTTAATTTAATAATAAATAAAGCAT